CAGTCGGTGGTGGCTCGGTCTTCACCCGAGGCCGAATACAGATCGATGGCGGTCACGGTAAGTGAATTGATATGGTTGCGTTGGCTGTTGCAGGAGTTAGGCGTGCGTCAGGATGGACCTACTACGTTGTACTGTGATAATCAAGCAGCATTACACATTGCGGGGAATCCGGTTTTCCATGAACGCACAAAACATGTTGAAATGGATTGTCATTTCATGCGAGAGCGCGTGGCGTCGTCAGAAGTTAGTCCGCAGAAGATTGCAACTAGTGACCAAGTAACTGATCTGTTCACGAAAGGTTTGGGCAGTGAACAGTTCACGTATCTCGCTTCCAAGCTTGGCTTGCATGACATTCACGCCTCCGCTTGAGGGGGAGTGTTGCGAGTCATTAAACGTTGTCCTTAATTGTCACTAGTTAGCAGTTAGTGGTAGTAAATTGCACTTCACCATGTGGAGAAGCCTAACCCTAGTTCATTAGTTGTTCGGGTTAGGGTAGCTATATATATAGCCTTATGCATGCTACTGTTCGGAGTTGTTGTTGTTGGTTGAGTTGTGGAGTTGATAATAAAAGTTCAGCCGAGAAGCTCTTGAAGAGCTTCTCCGTGGATTAGTCTCGTTCACACTGAACGAGGATACCACGTAAATCAATCGTATTATTTTGCTTCCGCGTTGCTGTTATTTTACACGGAAGAGGCGGTTGAAGAGAAGTAAAAACAAGGTTACGTTAGTTTCTGGTGACAAAGTAGCTTCATAGATTGGTTCTTTGATTTATTATTTTGCCCCAACCAATTTTCTCAATGTACAGCCCTGCCACCTTTCCTCCCCGAAAAAAATAAATATATAATATTTTAATAAATTGATAGATTAGGCTATTATTTTAGGATATTAGTTTGTTAATTTTTGTTAAACATTCATATACATGTAGATTCATAATGCTGGATGTCTTATGTGTAGAATTTTAGAGTTTGAATGTAGGTCTTAGATGTAGCAATTTACGGATTTGGGTGGTTCAGTCGTAGACTTTAGAACTTTTAGTACCCATTGTTTATTAGGCACCAATTCATTAATGGTTTTATAACGGTTTAACACTGGTTAAACCAGTAAAGTGTAAACCGTTCGCTGTGTCGGTTCTTACTCCGGTTTAATTATGGCAACATTGTGTATTATGCATTAATTTTTGTTGTGACATTTTGTGACAATTCACAACTAGTCATCTCACAACTAACATGTTGCAGCTAGGGGTGTTAGTCGGTGCGGTTTCGGTTTAACCGCACCGAAATATCGGTTAACCGCAACCAAAATTGTCCCAAGATCACTAACCGAAACCGAAACCGACAGAGACTTCGGTTAACCGAAAACCGCAAACATCGGTTTCGGTTTTCCCTTGCGGTTAACCGAAACTGCAGGTTCTGGTTCACTTTCTCGGTTTTCGTTCAGAAAATGACCACCCAAAACCGAATTTCAACCACCTTTTTTAATGATTCACCCTCAATTTTGAGTGACCTGCTTTTGTTTCAGCCTCTATAATCACACACCATAAAGTCATCTAAATCAATTGAACATAAAGCCTAAAGCAACCACACAATTCAACCACAACTCCACAACATAAAGTCTACATGCCCACAATTCAACCACAAGTCACAATCACAACAAGACACAAATAACAAGTTCATTCTCTCCAAATCATCAACCTAAATGATCCGAGGATCTCGCTCCAATTCATCTAGCCCATAGTCATAATTTACTCCAAGATCTTCATCTAGCCCATAGTCATCAACCTAAGGTTCACTCTATCGAGTGCAAAGGGGATTTAGAGAGGGTTGACTTTCGAGCTCTAACTCTTAAAAACATTTGAGATTTTTGATGGAGGGTTGTTTGCAATAGGTGAGAATTGGGATATTTGGAATTGCAACTTTGATTGGTTTTGAATCTTACAACTTTCTCCCTTAGCCAAAGTAAAAAACCATGTAGTCACACTAGTAGGCGGTTATCGGTTTTCTTATCGGTTAACCGCTAACCGATTAATCGGTTAGCGGTTAACCACTAACCAAAATACTACTAACCGAAACCGAAATCAATAAGGAAGTAGTGGTTATCGGTTAACCACTAACCGACTTTATCGGTTCAGTTATCGGTTAAAACCGATAACCGACTAACCGTTTATCACCCCTAGTTGCAGCCAAGAAAGCTACAAACTCGTTTGTTGGGGATATCTTGGAGGAAAATTTCTCTCTGTCTTTTGCGTCTATATCATGTCTTTTTTCTCATTATTTGAGTCAATATCATGTCTTCTTGCTCATCGGAGTTTCAATAGAGCTACACCATGTAGTAACAAAACATGCTCTTCCATCAGTAGTTCGGTTGCATTCGAAATACCGGCAAGTACCCAACATAATCCAACCCGGTCAAAGCGCGTAAAACCGGCGTTTTGGGTTTTGAGTCCGGTGAGGGTAAAGCCCACTTTTGGCATTAGTAGGTTGGGTTGGATGCAGGTTTGGCCAAAACCCAACCCGCTCTTTGAAAGAAAAATGACTTCGTTTAATGTATACGCAAACATGTGAATAATTTATGAATAATATTAGTCTCTTATGAAAATATGATTCTAATAATAAAGATAATTATTGATGTTATTAGCCTTCTTAGCAATATAGTTATACAAAAATTTACGAGAATATAAAGATGTGTGTGCTCTGTGGAATTATTCACGATTATATCCGTGAACTCATGGGCAACGCAGAGAAAATTGAGATTTTAAGTAAAATAAAAAAATAAGGTAAAATCGAAATTGTAAGATTTTAACGTTCATATTAAAATTAACATTTAAAATACCATAGAGTAATATTAATGCATATCCTGAATAACAGTCCACCACATATCACTTAATTACTTCTCAACATAGGTTATATGCTAAGAAACACAAAGAACCTTATAAATTTGTACTTGTACATGACAAACACACAAATAAACAACCTGGAACCTAGACTTGGCAATCGGATCAGGTTGGATAATTTAGGGTTGGGGATCTCACGTTAGGGGTCATCATGGCCATGACCATGTTTGGTTTGGCTAATTTTGGATCAAATATTCATCCAACCCAAAAATTTTGGTTCGGTTTTACGGTCATTTCGAGTTACGAACATACATAGAAACAAGAATAAAAAGTTTTCATATTTTTTTAAAACAACACAAATTTTCGTATATGTATGCGTAACACATGTCAATTTACATATTCTCACATGCTAATGGAAGGAAATACGAATTGCACAAGTTGCTAAAAAAATGTCATGAGAGTAATACTACTACAAGAATCACGTGATATTTGATTATCTCGATGCTCCAAACTTGTCTTTCATATCCTTGTTAATTTGTTAAACATTTCACCAATTAATGAGTAATTTTATCATTTTGAAAGTGAGCTAGATATGATATTGTACTGGTTAAACGGGTTGACCCGCTAACTCACCCAACCCAACCCAAATAGGTGGAGGTTAATCGGGTTCTGGTCATTCGGATTTCGGGTTATGAAAACTGCAACCCATTTTTAATTTCTCGGGCAGCCTCGGGTCGGGTCAATGGATCGAGTCCTAATTTGCCAAGTCTACTAAACCTCATAGGAATCACTAAATCTAGTTAATAGTTGAGAGTAGGAAATCACATGAGATCGCTAGTTACAATATTAACGTCTAAGTCATCAACATCATCATCATCGCCCTCATCCTCATAGAAACCTTGTATATTTGCTTATGCAATGATATCATTATTCTCCGCACCACTTGAAGTACATTCAACACCAACCATATTTTCTTGATCGACATAACGCGACAAAGGCGACTCATTGATTGACGGATTCCTTTCTTGATCAAACATTTGCCTCGATTTCGTGGCACAACCTGATCCGACCCATCTTATTTTCGGTTTAATTGTTATGAACCTTGAAATTGAAAAAATCATACAGATCGTAGATTTTACAGTTTTAATAGGGATTTTAGGAGATTTCAAGGTTCAAATATTTATATTAAAATCAACGTAAGAACTCACACGTAAAATCATAAAACCATAATATTTTAAGATTAGAATCGAGATTTTGACTATATTGCTCATGGGTACACATGCAAGCACGGTACTTGTTGGATTGATTTTTCTCTTCCAAGATCCAGTAAATATTTTATTAGATTTTTTGGTGGATTCACTTGCTAAGTTGGGTTTTGGTTTGGGTTTGGACCAACCCAACCCATTTCCCTATAGACTTGCACACAACTTAATTTTAACTTTTATTCTCAAAACTCTAGGGGGCATGTCCCTCTTTTTCTAAGTTTGTTTCGTCCCTGAGATCCAACAGCTATCACTAAATGTGATATCTTTTTTATAGAGTACATGCACAACATGCAACAAAAATGGAACAAACACAATAGTGTCTAAAAAGGCCCCTGTCCCACCATAAATTCTATGCTCCTATATATTCTCCCCTCCTTTCTCCTCTAAGTCAGAAGAACCATCGAAATTAAATCAAAAAGGCAAAGAAAACCATTTGTCACCATCACAATGATTCACTACGATAGAGGACCCCCTTCCCCGTGTCGCATCTGCATCCGCAATAATAAAGACAGTTGTCCCAAGTGAGTCAGCTCAACACAACGAAACTGAGGGGGTTTTGTTTATTTAATTGTATTTTTTATTGTTAATGGTTGAGTTACCTTTGTGGAGCTAAATAAAGAAATAAAATCTAAAATCATCAACCTCTCTCTTCTATACAAATCTTTGAAAAAGGAAAAACAAAAAACAAAAAAAAAAGCCATTGTCAATATTTTGCTAGTTCCTTCCTTCCATTTTCCTTTCCTTTTCTTCTATATCTTTGACCTCCCAAAAATCCAGGCTCCATTTATGTTTTCAAGCTCTCCACACATCATTCCTTTCTCTACCACCATCACACTGTTCTTCTTTTTGAATTTCTATTCTTGCTCCACTAAGTGATTATCTCATTCTTTTTCCTGCTATTTTTTATGATGACGCCTGAGGATTTTGTGAGATCAGTTGAGGATGGTTTGAAACTGTCTAAGCGAATATATGTTGGCAAAGACAGAGCCGTAGCTCCTCCAAAGATTCCAGTGATGATGGACAAATCCCTCATGGATGCTTTCCTCCCCAAGTCCCCCATGGTGTATGCCATAATCTCCAATCCAGGTATCGTCGATAACCCTGACATACCTAGCTACCAACCTCATGTCCACGGTAGGTGTGATCCCCCAGCTCTCATCCCGCTTCAAATGAACCGGATCGAGCTTCAGGTTGATTGCTTCTTCGATAACGTCTTCGTCCAAATAATCGGATCATGGCGTGTTCATTGTGTTATGGGAAGCAAGAGTTGTGATTGCCTTATTGCCCTTCCTATGGGGGAACAGGTTCGTTCTCCCTAAAAAAAAATTTGCTTCATACAAGGGATTTAGGGTTCTCTGTATTTCAGTGTCTTAACATCTTCTTCTTTTCCTTCTCTTTCTTTCTCAAGTAATATTATTACATTTGGCTAACAGGGTTCAATTCTAGGTGTCGAGGTAGAGGTTCATAGAAAGTCATATGCTACGGAGATAACAGAAATGAAAGACATCAAGGATGAGGATAAAGAAGCACGTCCTGAAAATGGTGGTTATCTCAAACCCAGCATATTTACTGTCACAATCCCAAAGGTTAGTCTTCTTGGAGGAGCTTCTTTCTTGTCAATTATGTCATGTAGTAAAAAAAAATCCTTTTTCGGGGTAAAAATCAGGGAGCATCTTGGGTAGCAAAGGTTACTGTATAAAACTTTTTCTTATACATATTTAGGTTGACGGGGGTGCCATACTTTCAATTAGAGCTAGTTGGATGCAGAAATCAATATGCAACAATGGAGAATTTTTTATGGGAGTTCCGTTTAGTTTCCCAGAGTATGTCATTCCACTTGCAAAGAAGCTACCCAAGAAGGAGAAAATACTTCTGAATGTGAATTCTAGTTCAGAGACTGAGATTATATGCAAACATACCAGTCATCCTTTGCAGGTTGTACCCTAAACCGACCAATCTTTTTTAAGGGAGCTTAACTTGGACTTTGTGATTGGTTTCATTTTGAGTTTATTTTATTTTTCAAATCTTCAGGAAGTCAGTAGAGAATCTGGGAAGTTGTCTTTCGCTTACGAAACTGAAGTTCTCACATGGACGCACAATGATTTCACTTTCTCTTATGTGGTAAGAATATGAAAATAAAATTGATAACTTTAAAAATAAAAATGATTGATATTTGGTATTCGTACTGAAGTGTACTTTATGTGTACTTCCATGCTATGTTAGGTCTTGTCAGGCCATATATCTGGTGGTTTGCTTTTGCAATCACCATCTATGCATGATGTTGATCAAAGAGCAATGTTTTCTATGTACCTCTTTCCTGGAAATCAGCAAAGCATGAAGGTTAGTCTAACATTATCTTAATTTGATAAGTGATGCTCAATATATCTCTCTATTGGTATGTTGTCATTTTTCTCAATCTGACAGGTGTTCAAAAGAGAGGTTGTATTTGTTATTGATATAAGTGGAAGCATGGAAGGAAAACCAATTAAGGCTACAAAGAATGCAATATTTACTGCCATCAACAAGCTTGAACCAAAAGATTCATTCAATATAATAGCTTTCAATGGAGAGATTTATGTGTTCTCATCTGTGATGGAATCCGTAACCGAGGACACAATTGATAAGGCTTGTCAGTGGATTAATTCAAACTTTTTGGCAAGTGGGAGTACAAATATTTCACAGGCTCTAAATAAGGTTATTTCTCTTGCTTATTCCAAGTATTTGGTGTTTCTACGTGTGATTATATACCTTTTGTTAGTTTTTACTTTGCAGTGTGTTCAAGATGGTATATAGTTTAACTATTATGAGTTTCTTTCATGCTCTCAGGCAATAGAGATGGTCTCCAACAGTACTGGTGTAATCCCTCTCATATTCCTTGTGACTGATGGGACTGTTGAAGATGAAAGACACATTTGTGAAGCGATCAAAAGTGAAGGAACTGTTGGGGGAATGATATCTCCACGGGTACACACTTTTGGCATTGGTACATACTTTTTTCGTACTCCTATTACATTTCCCTTCTCTTTCCTTCCATCGAAGATGGGCTTTTTTTCAGCTAGGTTGGCGTTTTTAGCTTCTAACTAGGATTTTTTTTTATTTTTTCCAAAATTCTAGTCTTCATATATAAACTTCACTTTTATTATATGTAATACTCATGCACCATATGTTCCAGGGTTGTACTGTAATCATCATTTTTTGAGGATGCTTTCAATCCTTGGCAGGGGAGGAAATGATGCGGCTTATGAATTAGGTTAGTCCAAAGGTATTATTTACTGGCTTATCCTCTCTAAGTAGCTACAAGTGCAATATTTGCACCATTTTATTTTTCAAACTTTTTTGGGTGGAGGTAGTGTAGCGGTGTGGCCTTGAATATGTTCTTGAGTCACATAGAATATTCATCTAGTTTGGGTGATTCACTCTCACTATGTAGCTATAACTCTGATACTTGCTACATTTTATCTTTAAAAATTTTGGGTGGAGGTGGTGTGTAGTGTAATCTTGACTATGTTTTTTAGTGCATGTCGACTTGAACCCGGAGATTCTTTTATTATATATTGATTTTCTTTAGATGGCAGAATATTCGTCACTACTTGTGTGATGAAACGCGGTGGCCTCATTCATCCCGTTTTTTAAATGCCTATGAAACTTTATGTATGATATCCATAATTAGGATGGTGGTTTTTCTTATTTATATCATAGGTGTTGACACCAAACTCATGACTTTTCCATCCTTCTTTGGCATTAATTAGTAGTTGAAAGTAGTGAACTTTGATTTTGGAATGCTTCCTTCATGATTGTGGTTCTGGCTACTAATTTTGTCTTCTTTAGTTCTTTATGGTAGTAGACTTATGTGTTCTATTGCAAGATCTTCTTTGTCTAAAGGCATAAAGAGACCTTATGTTATGGTGTATGTTTGAATTATAAGTAATGTTTTCTAAAATGTTAACTATTCTTGTATATATTTATCTATAATAAGTTTCTATCCAGATTAGCCTGCAAAATCTTTTCAACGGACCTTTCTCCTTTGTGCTTAAACTTGTCACTCCTGGTGCTAATCCCATTTATATTAAGAAATGAAGATGCCTTAGCCTACATGGAATATGTTTGAATTATATTTGTAGTTTCTCACTGTTACTCATACTTGCATGTGTTTATGTATTACCAGATTCTATCGAGACTAGAATGAAAAATTTCTTCATCAAAGGTTTGTCTACTGTTCTTGCCAATATATCACTAGAGGCATTCGATAATGTTTGTGAACTTGAGGTATGTTTGATGATCCCTCATAACATACAAATTTAGCAGCTTTGCCCATCCTTCTATTTCCCTATATGTTAGGGTTTGTGGTTTGAAAATTCATTAGTTTAATTTTTCTGCATTGGCCATAGGCCCATAGCCTTTAGTGGTGTAACTGATCAGACATTGGTGGATACTAGACTTGTTCTTATCTGTCATTATGTTAAAAATTATCCTCATTAACTCGCGTAAGTTTTAGATTATTTTCTAAAATCAACAAGTGCATTTGGTGGATAACCTTTTTAAAAAGAGCTTGGTGGATTGGCGATGTCAGATATGTTTATAATTTATGCATGGTTTGTCGACATCAAACAACTCTATCTCCTTGTTTTTAGTATAACAAACTTGCCTTAGTTATTGTCCTATTTGTAAAGTTTGTAGCTTTGAGCTATATTTTTATGGTTCTTCCATCTTCTTGCAACAGACATATCCTTTCAATGTTCCAGACATTTCATGTGAAGGATTGTGGACTATCTCTGGCAGATATATTGGCAATTTGCCAGACTTTGTCAGAGTTGAAGGTGTTTTAGGCGACTTAAGTAAATTTGTTGTGGACATAAAGACACATAACACAAATGATATTCCTCTTGAGAAGGTAATGAAACTAGCTCACCCTTCTATAAGTTTATAACATTCTACATGCAACATCTTATAGATTGTGGTGCACCTCGCAAGTTGTTACATACTGTTGGCTAATATGGTCATGATACATTAGAGGCAAAGCAGTCAAGATAGGAATTTTGATCGTAAAATCATAGGATTTTGCTTAAGGATTCCGATCCTGATTTTACTATAAAATTGGCGGACCTTAAAATCGTTTAAATTTTGGATTGAAATCGTAAAATTGTACAAAGAATCGGGATTAAAATCGTCCGAGAATAAAATAGGCAGTTTGAGCAAATTTAAAAAAAACGGAACTGCTTCGACGAAAAGGGCAATGACGCGGATCTTCTCAAGAAAAAATAAATAAATTAGGGCTCGCTCAATCCATTTTCCTTCGCCCTATTAAACTCATTGGTAAAATAATTGTCCTAATACTGTACATACGTAAGAATTAACATCATTACTAACTAATTAATTATTTAATAAATTTATTTATACCAAGTCATTAGCATTAATTATTTGATTGGTATTCATTTATTCTTGGTTTTAAATCATGCTTAGCAAACAATGTTGATAGTAAACGGGCCGGAGTACTACTTTGAGTTAAACTACCTAGACACAACATGAAAAACAAGAGCCAAGCCCCATGAGCTTTATCCTTTCCTCGTGAATTATTTTGAGTTACGCGTTAAATGACAATTAAAATGATAATTTTTGGAACATTAATCTTGAGATTTATTATTTTAAATGTTATATGTCTTTGTGTTATTAATGATTTAATATTATATGTTAGTTTCTATATGGACCTTAAAATTGTAAGATTTTACGATTCTGATTTTTTTACGATTTTCAATTTTAGGTAAAATCCCGATTTTGACTGCATTGATTAGAGGGATGAAGGGTAGGATTGTGTGCTTTGAAATCCTTTGGGCATTGTAAAGCTAATTGAGTGTTGGGTCACATGCACATACTTAGTTCTAGATGGTAGACAAAATGAGTAGTTAAGAACCTTGATGCTTATGTAGAACAGAACAGTGATTTAGCGACGGTTTTCTTGACTTTCATATTCCGGCTCACCTCTTGATAGGTTACCAGCTGAGAATATACGGACGCTGCTTCACATTGAGATGCTTAAATGATATGTACATAAGGAAGTAACTCCAAAATTTAGCTAGTGGTATTTGATTGATGCTTAAATGATTTTGCCCCTGCTACAGGTATGTGGAAAGCAACAAATTGATATTCTAACAGCCCAGGCATGGTTTTCAATAAGTAAGCAGATGGAGGAGAAGGTAGTGATTAGTGATAGCTCACTTTCTTTTATCATCCTCTTATTATATATATACAGGAATAGGAATAGGGTAAATGCCAGGTCACTGAGATTACTAAATCATATCATGTTTAGTCATTAGAAAAAAATAATATCAATTTTGGTCACTTGATCAATTACTGAATCATGTCACAGTTAGTCACTGGAGTTGGATGGAGACTAACGGAAGAGTGACTAAATATGACCTGTTCTAGTAATTCGAGTGACCAAAATTGATATTAATTTTTTCTAGTGACTAAACATGACATGATTTTGCAATCTCAGCATTTACCCGAATAGGAATATAGGACCACATTCATACTCTTACTATATTAGTGATCTTACACTTCATAATCACTTGACTCAGGTTTCCAAAATTAGCGTACAAACAGGGATTGTGTCTGAATACACACGCATGTCATTACTGGAAACTGCGAGAGCAGTGTGCCAGCCCACAGAATCGCCTGCTGCTGGACGCAAGGTAAATATAGAAGATAATGTCATCTTTTGATAATGTAAGTAACAAAAAAAAAAAAAAAAGAATCCGCAGTACTAATAAGAGTGATGACCACAGAAACAGGGATCAAAGAAAGGCAACTCTCAGCAGAAGGGAGAGAAAGAGAGCGAGAGAAGAGTAATACTGCCAAGCTTGGGGATTGGGTTTGGAAGCTTGGCAGCAACCGCGGAGAACATAGCACCAGGGGCCGAGGAACAAAAGTTGCCAGAGGCAGCGGAGATGATAATAAATGCAGCTTCCAACTGTTGCGGGAGGTTGTATGGGGACTGCTGTTGCATGTGCTGCGTCCAGTGTTGCTCCAGAATAAACAACCAGTGTGCAGTAGCCTTGACCCAACTGTGCACGGCTCTAGCGTGTTTTGGTTGCTTCGAGTGTTGCGCTGCTGTGTGTTGCTCTGGGGAAGATCAATGACGTTGTGAGAGGCTAATTAGCCACTTGGTGGGGGTTTTTTTTTGTTGTTTTTTTAGCTTCCTCTGTGTGCAACTGAATTCAAGTTGTTCTTGCTAGCCTTGTTTTAGGATGTTGTAATTGTTAGTGTTGTGGTATATGATCCACAATTGAACCTCTTCCAAAAACTCGAGTTATTGGGAGCAACTGGTTCTTGACATGGTATCAGAGCCTTCTGTGACCGAGAGGTCTTGTGTTCGATTCCCGGTGACCCTATTTGTTAAGCACATGATATTCTTGTCTTCAGACCTGTGCAAACTTCAAGCCCTTATGAGTGGCTTTCGTTTGAGGGGGCGTGTGTTAGTGTTGTGGTATATGATCCACAATTGAACATCTCCCAACAACTCGAGTTATTAGGAGCAACTGGTTCTTGATAGATATATCTTGTTACGTGTATACTAGAAAAAATAAACATCACTTCCAAAGAACTACCAACTTCTCTCTCTATGTCTCCTTTGGACCAGATTCTGAGCCTCTCTTTAAGCACACTAACCAATATTGTTACCAAAGAAATGAATTTTACTCTATGTTGGAGAAAGATCCAACGGAATCTATAATATTACATAGTAAAACATACAAACAAGCATAATTGGGATTTGTAATCAATCGCCATTTTTTTTTAAATTAAAGAGCCCAAGAGTTGGGATCTGAATGTAATCCTAGTTCCCTTTGTAACAAACCAAACCTATAACGATAAAGCATCTTTCCCACCTCAGCTAACTCTTGTTCCTGTTTTGCATACACACACATCATTCTTCATCGCCTTAATGATTAAAAATAATCTGTATAATAAGTCCACATCATGTTTCAATAAAAGGGATAGAAATTGAGGTGGGTGTAGTTATCCACCCCACATTTTGCGAGTTACCACTAAACACAAAAATTATTATTTTACTACCCACAACCAACCAATTACCCACAACTTGTGGATATGGTTATCCACAATAAGTGTGGGTTGGTGCAGTTTTTGGGTTATCTACTACCCGCAACCCAAACTTCCACCCCCTAATGATACCTATAACAAATTGATGGGATGGCTTTATCTTGGGGCTATAGGGGAGCAAGATCATTATCTTGGACGACCTTCTCTGATCTCTTGCTGAAAGGAGGATACTTTTCACTTTCTTGTGGAGAAGTTGCTCAAAAAGCTTCAGGGTTGGAAGTAGTGGACATTATCTAGAGCCGCTAAGTATGTTTTGATTCGTACTTCTATCTCTAATCTCCCAGTCCATGCAATGAGCTGTTTTAGGATCCCAGTGGAAACTTTTCGACCGATGGATGGCCACATGGCTAGATTTTGGTGGTCTTTTTCGGAGGTAGCAAGAAATACCATTCACTGGGTCTCATTGAAGGGTTTAGCTAAGAGCAAGTTTTTAACTTTGGGCTTGGGTTCAGGGACTTCATAGCTTTTTGTCAGGCCCTACTGGCTAAGCAATGTTGGAGAATTCTTACTCGACGAAAATCCCTCTTCTCCCAGGTCTATAAAGGGTGGTATTACTCGAATGGTTCCTTCCAAGATTCTAGCCAGGGATCCAATCCTCGTGGGGATGGAGAAATATTATTTATGGTAGAGAAATCTTGTTGAGAGGGTTACCTTGGCAAGTTGGAGATCGTGAGAATATCATGGCTTTATCGGAAAGTAGCTCCTACCGAAAATCGTCTCGGGCCCTCTATTTGGATCCCCTTACATTATGGAAATCCTCAAGTTTCTTTATTTATCCTTAATGGTAGTAAGAAGTGGCACGTCCCTAAACTTCAATATTTCTTTTATAAAAAGATCGGTTGAGCTCATAAGATCACTTTTTATAAAGAGAAACCTTTGAAGGGATCACTTGGTTTGCCATCACACCAAGGATGGGTCATACTCGGTTAAGTCTGGGTATCACATAGCCCTGGAAATATTATTGTCAAATTCTCATAAGGAAATGGCCCATGGAATTAACCCTCATATATGAAAATAGACTTGGGGCATCCAACTCCCTCCTAAGTTGCTCTCTTTCATCCGATAGTGCCTAATCCTTCTCACCGTCTTTGCACTCAGATCTCATGGGATGAATTATGTCCACTGCCTGTATGTTGGAAGCACCGCGAGACCATTGAACATATTTTCTTTATATGCCCCCTTGTGACCAAACTTTGGTCATTAGTGGAATTGGACGAGCTTTTGCAATCGCTCCCCAGATCAATTTTTGGCATCGTTTCCTCCAATCTGATCGCCATCAAATCCAAGTTCTTCAATTTGTTTTTCTTTTTCGAAGGATTTGAAAATCTCTAAACATTGTGGTATTTGAATATTATCAACCTCAGATCCATGTCCTCGCTGCTTAGTTTTATTTTTAAGTCCCATAGTTCGCTTCTTCATTCCACCTCCCTTCTCATGTTGCTCCACACTCCCCTGGCAGTTTTGTGCACTCCTCTCTCAAGCATTCTCAATATTAACTTTGACGCGACAGTTTGACAAGATGCTTCCTCTTCTGGAGTTGTTATTCAAGATTCTAGTGGTTTCACTCTTTTGGCATCATGTTTCCTTCAATTTGGCATTGCAGACCCTTACTTGGCATAACTTATTGTATCTTGTGATGAAATTTCCTTATCGGTTCCTCGTCAGATTGCTAAAGTGCTGGTTGAAGGAGACTTGCAGTTTGTTATATGTCAACTCTAGAAAGGTTTCTTTTCGGATGTCATAGGTGGGCCTCTGCTACGTGATTGTCTCCAGCTGATCTTAGCCTTGCCCCATGGTATAGAGTTTAGGGCGGTTCTTAGAGTTGTCAATTGGGCTTCCTATAGAGTGGCGTGTAAAGCCCTGTCCTAGTCTTTGTTAGAGTTGGCATCTTTTGATTTTGGCATCTGGTTGTAAGAGGTCCAGTTGGGCTTAAGCAGGGGCTGAGTGTTTCTTCGGACTGATGCATCTTCCTTGACATTTTTTTGGGGAAAAAATTTGGTGGGATGGCTTTACATGAACTTTAGCAAAAAGAAAATAACAAACAATTTGGTTCAAATATTCTATGATATTAAACGAAAGAGTAAATATAATTTAATAGTCAAACTTTTTCAATTTTGACAAATAATAATCGAACCTTTCGAAATACCAAAAAAAAAGCAAACCTTTTACATCGTGGAAAACTTTTAGCCAAGTATTTGTTACCATTAACAACCCTCCCATCGGCATCCACATCATATTATATTAAATAATCTATTTTACAATATTATTAACAATAAAAAAATTGGTCCAACCCCCCACTCCTCGTATTCTCTCCCTACTTCCTTTTTCCAACACCATGCTTGTCAATCTAAAAATTTTCCCAAATTCTCACTATCCCAGTCCCATCAATCAAATTTCAATTGGTTTATCTATTTCTATTTCTCTCTTCCTTCGTCCATTCAAACAGACTTCTCGTAATATGGAGACGATATCAAAATATTTGTGTGATAATACTTCTGGAGGTAGTGCTTCCGTCGAAGCAACATCTTTCATAATAGAGTGTTGATCTTTCCATAGTTCGTATCAATTATTGAAACTCGGGGGGGGGGGGGGGGGGGGGGGGGGGGGGGGGTTCCTTTTAAACTTTGTGTGTCCCGCTCTTGACATCTGACATTGGGGGGTGCAGAGGCAAAGAATTGGAGAGACTTGAACCATATTCGAGATCGATGCAACGAGGAACGAGACCTGAATTCGAGATTTCGAGTGATTAAGTAAAAAGAAGAAGAATAAGCGAGCAAGCAAGCTTTTTTTTTTTTTGTACAGTGAAAGACTTCCATTCCAGAGTTCATTACAACAGTGGAGCAATAATACTAGAAATTACAACCCAATCCACAGGTAATGAACCAAGCCTAGCTTGTGTAGCAACCCAATCCGCCAACATGTTCAGCCTCCTTGGAACGAACTCAACGCGGATCCAAGGCGAGGAGTGTAAGATGGAGCACATGCGCGCAAGGGATGCTTGACAGAGCCAAGGCCAAGAGGCTAGGTCTTGCTGCAGTGCATTAGTCAGTACCTGGCAATCAGAACGAATACAGGTAGGGACCGAATCACGTGATGCAAACAAGATATATTTGAGGAGCCCAGCAGCTTCTGCTTGAATCGGATGAGAACAAAAGAAAATCTCAGCCTTGCCATCGTACACCTGACCCTGAGGACTAGCAATAGTAATCCCGTAAGTCGCCGGGAGGGATTCTGAGACAAAAGAGCCGTCACAATGAATCACTCGAGAAGAAGGCGGTGGTTCATTGTTGAGATGGGATCCCCTAGGCTGAGAAGATAATTGTGATGACCGGTGAGGAGCAGAAGAAACCGGATTGCTTCGAGCTTCTTCAATCTCCAGAAAATCTCGTCCTGCAACAATTACCGAGGAGGTCGGGGAAGGAGCCTTGTGGTCAAAGATAAAGGAGTTTCGAGAAATCCAGATGTTCCAGAGGCAACAAACAATCTGTCGAATGCGGATTTCACTAAACTCCTCCTTAAGACCAAAAAACCAGTGCGCGAAGGATGTGTCCTGGGCTGGCAGATCAACCAGCAGACCTGAAAGCCTCCACGTATCTGCAGCGTGCTAGCAGAAGAAGAGGCTATGCATGATATATTCAACCTGAGCATCACAAATCGGGCATTTCGGGTTGGGGTCTCATTGTCGTGAGTGGAGTCTTTCTCTTGTTGCAATGGCCCGTTTGGAGCATTTCCAAAGGAAGAACCTGAAGATCGGTGGGAGAGCAAGGGACCAAAGCCAAGTCACTCCTGGTCGCCCAAAGGGTGAGCTCCATTATGCTGGGGAGGGGCAGCGTGATGATCCCGCTGCTCGCGAAGGGAATGGTAAGCAGATCGAGCAGAATAGGAGCCAGATTTAGTGAATTTTCATGCCCAACAGTCGCTAGCCCCTGCAGGTCCAATAGGGATACGACAAATAGCATTAGTAATATCTTCAGAACAGACATTGCGGATGGCTTCAGCGTTCCACGATCATTCTTCTTGA